CTGTAACCAGTTACTGACTGCTTTGGTCGAGTTAAGGGCCGACATCAAGGGCCACTTGAGCTACATATCAAGCTCGTCTCTGAATTTCATCCATTCTGATGAGCTGATTTTGACTGTCGGTTATTCGAAATCAGTATTCAATTTTTTGAAGGTAATTCATTTTCCTAACTAACACTCACTTCGAGTATGCTGCTAACAAAAAACGTCAGTTTCGGGTCATAGTATGTGAAGCATTTCCTAGTAACGACGGCCATAAAATGGCAGAGAGTCTAGCGATGGAGGAGATATCTGTTGTTCTCGTGCCAGATAGTCATGTATTCGGTTTGATGGCCCGTGTCAATAAGGTAAAACTATTGATTGAACAATTATGAATAGTTTACTGAATTAATTCATGATCAATCTTAAATGACTTAGGTTATCTTGAGTTGCAATACTGTCTATCCAGATGGTGCGCTGAAGGCACAGACCGGAACATATGCTGTGATGCTGGCAGCAAAACACTTCTCCATACCGGCAAGTTATGACGTTACTAAAACTAAGGTCCTTTGGATAATCTTTTAGCAGCTCAAGCAGCTAATCCTTTTCAGACCTACGTGTGTCTCCCCTCGTACAAGATCTCTCCAGTTAATTTCAAATTACTACCAAACTGTTCCAACACCTTGAACAGTCACGCCCAGTGTGCGCCCGAGTCAATGACTGGTCTTATCGAAACAGCGGACCTTTCGGTGAATGCATTAGACGCGCCCTCACGGTTACTCCCCGCGTCGGAGTGTCTTGCCGGTGGCGGTCCATCACCGCTGATTTGGCTGCCTAACTGGGACTACATACCGCCTGGCCTGACTAGTCTCTTCCTTACCACAGAAGGAGGACAGGCGCCGTCTTACCTCTACGCCATGGTTCGCGAACTATTTAACTCCGATGACGTCAATCAATCACTTAAATGGGTCGAAAGGTAATCCATTTTCCCACCTGCTGCCGCACTCCACGTATCGGAACCTACTTTGCTTGTTGTCTTGAGTGGAGACTACTCACACTCGATGTGTGCCTCTTAAATTGGACAGCAATAATCCCATTCTCCGGCGTAAGATTGTTTAGTTTCCATATTTAGCTCTCGGGGAAAACAGGTCTGAGTAGTATTCGCACAGAAAAAGCAGACGAAACGACGAGCCGAACGGTTGTATTGACACAGAAATGCAAAGCACTTGGGGGTCTGGCACCGGCCACCACGTGTCGCAGTCTTGGACCGAAGTCTGAAAGGAGAGGAATCGATTGACTAAAAAGTCTAGAAGTTATCTGGACCAGAGAAAAAGAAATTACAAAAGTGCATTATTTATTTGCAGATCTTGACACACTCGGTACAAAAATTGCACTTTCGGGTACATGGGCCGTACAGTGAGCGATTATGGTACACTTGCGAGGATAGTAACGTTTACACAACACCGTTATTACATGATTGTCAAAAATGTATACAAGTGAGACTTGAAAGACTTTGGAATGGAAAAGATTCTACAAGAGGTTAAATGTACTTACTTTGTGAGGCGCTGGTCATTAAACTGTGCCATGAATGAGGAGGCGATTTAGGGAGAAATAGTACAAGTTTATCTGCAGATTATGTGTAAAGTTCGTGGTTTTCGGTATGAACGGTGACGCTTCAGTGCGCTATGAAATGCGGAACCAGGAGCAAGGATGGCTACTGTCGGTAGCGAGTGGATTCACGATAAGAGGGTGAGCCACTGCCATAGTAGTCGCGACCGCTAAGTCTGTCGTGGTCATTTCGAGAGGATCGGTGACGCTTGTCGTCATTTCGAGGACCGCGAGGTGAGCGCGAGCGAGAGCGATGACGACTACTCCGATGGTGTCGACTGCCACCTCTGTAGTCATCACCACCCTCACTACCGCTGTTGCTGTACGAACGTCGACGACGTCTACTCCCGCCACTGCTGCTGCCTCCACTCCTGCAATTAAAGAAACCCTTATAAACACGTGAAAGCGCGGTTTCATGCAGTACCGAACGTAATCGAAAGAGAACTGTATATAATTGATTGAAGCCGTCCCATATGGACAGGGAATACAACAAATGTCAACCCCGAAAATACGGCGAGGGGTGAAAGGTGCAGGGAAATAATAAAACAAAACATGAGGCGACGTGACGAAACACGACAGTAAGTAAAATTCGCAGCTTTGACATAAAAGCATTGTTTCCAGAACTGAAGACAATGCTTTCACTATTTAAATGTGATGAGCAGGAAAGACATACAAATAAGTGCACCGTAAAAATTGCATCTTAATGTATGAAACCAAAGCACATCTGATCTTCGCTTTACGCAGACGGAAGGTACCTACTTTGAGCCATAGGACTTCATCTCTATTCCATGAAGTGTATCCTGCAAGGAATTGATGAGAATTTTACACCGATCATCATTAGCGATTTTCGACTGCTTGATTAGAGATATGGCGGTAACCAGAGTTTCGATTGCCCTAGGATAATTCCCACAAGCAGCATCCGCAACAGCTCGATTAATAGCAGTGGAAGACACCGTCTTATTTTTTTCCATTATGTCTTCGAATTCAGCCTCACTTATCTTCACCGCTTGACCTGAAATAAGGTGAGGAATGTACATGATGGAAGCTATATCACCTGGTGTGTATGTTTGTACTGCACAACGTCCGAATTGATCCAGCTGAGGACGGAGCACAGAAGCACCTAGCTGGGTTTGAAGCAAAGAATTCGCCCCGACTGCTCCAGCTTGATTCAATCCACTCTGCTGCAAGAAGCTGGGATTGATATGTGCGTTGGCACCGGAGGCGCCAGGTATGGCCAAAGGAGGTGTAGGAATAAGACTGGATCCAGGGCTCGCAGAGAGAGTTGTAGGCAAGTTGAAACCAGACATGAGCAAGTCTACAAATGTGAATGAACGGGAAAGTCAAGGCTACTTTGAAAACCTTGAGACAAGTTTGGAATGCCGAGTGAGAGCGCTCCGCCAGCAGAACGAGTAGAAGATGCTCGACCCATGAGAGATGAACTACCCCGCATACTAAATCCAAGGGAAGCTGGAAGTGCCGGAGTGCTCATTAGCGGAGGAGGTAAACGCCCATTACCTTGAGAAACAAAATTAACATAGAAAAGCCTACTTGAACCACTAGTAATGCGACTGTTTGATGCTGCACCAAGTAAAGCAGAAGCGGATGAGTTTTGAATGGTTCCGTCATTGCTAGCAGCTTTCTCAAAAACTGCCAAGCTTTGTTTTGTACAATATGTGAGCACAGGCTGCTGGCCGTTAATTTCAATTTTTGAAATCTTTTCCATCCCAATCTTGACAGACGATTCTGACCCAAAAACTATCACACAAAACCCCTTTGATTGACCATTTTGGCGATTTTCGTGAAATTTTATTTCCAGAATGTCCCGTATACCAATGCTGTTGAATGCTTCCTGTATATCGACATCAGTAGACCACTGTACAGAGCAGTAAAGATAGAAAAAAAACAGACACACCCATGTAAGATTTCCCAGATATGTAGCGAATCTTTTTCCAGTATGAGGAGGCTGTGCTGGAGCAGTAACAGGTTTAACCTAGGCGAGTTATTAAACCATGTAGCACACCTTTGATTCAGAACCAGCATGTTCAGTTTTCGAAGAAGGTGGTATTATGACATCATCATAGAGCTCAGTGAGCTCGTTAGATTCCTTGAAAATAAAAAAGCAAATCAACAAACCTGAACGAAATCTTCCTCAATATTATCATATAAATCTATCTCAGCACCGTTATCCATTATGACACAGTATTTTGGGTACAGTAAAACAAGCAACGGAGAAAAGTAGTAATGATACAAATATGCAAAAGAAATAGGTGTACATTTCACTGACCGAACAAACATTCAATTTTTATGTCAGCATCTGTAAGTTATTTACACATGCCTGTGTAATATGACATTAATGATGCAGCAAAATGCAACACTCATTTTGAAGGTTTGCAACGGTTTACTGTGACAGAAGAAATCTATATGTTGACCAAAATGTTTAATGCTCAGTGGACATGTAAAGCTCTGTATGTAGACTGACATAGTCACGCTTTAGCCCAATGACTGGTTTCCTTAACTTTCTTTGTTGCTAGTGCAGCACAGAAACGTAATTGCCGAATATGTTCTAACACTTTGTTTATATGACCACATGACGTTTGGCGGTCACTTTGCGATTTGTCTGTGTAATAACGCCTGTCTACTCTCTGGTCCCTGGTCTTCAGGCTTCAAGAGGAAGTTGGTTTCAGACGCTTCATTAAGCATTGCTATTAGGAAGGATGGGGAATGGAATACAGATGAGGTGAGTTGGAGATATCAATCGGAGGAAGGCTTCTCACTGACCTCACGCACGTGATTTTCGTTCACGATTGATTCCCGTCTCTCACCTATAAAAGTACACTTAAACAAACTAGTATATATTACAGTCTGGTCCTTATACTCGTGGTCTGGCCTTGGGTCATGCTCTGGCCCATTTGCTCTGTCCTCTTTGGAATGCATGTATTCACATCTTCCAACCTATTGGAAGTCGCGAGACGCTACATTGGTTGCAGCGGAAAGCGAACTCGGCATTTTTAACAACTATTCAATCACACAGCGTTTGTTGCATGTACCTACGGTGTGGAGGAGACGCATTTACCTTGGTGACGGAGAATTGCTGAATCCTTCAAAACGAAAGGATTTAGACCGACATTTGCATTTGGTGCCACCTTATTCCCGTGTTCCACAGACAAGCTATTAACAGTTGATGCGACACCACCGTGAACTATCTGGAGAAGTTTCGTGTCGAAATTTTCCTTACAAAATCCGTGCATAGGTGTTGGAAATGACACTACTGTTCTCCTCACACACGGGACAATGCCTTATCCCGTTTTACCTGTAACATATCTATTTTAGACCAGAGTTCCACCGTCTAGTCTTTGAAGCAATTGATGGTCAACAGGTGTATGCGGCCCCGAGTCTAGTTGTCAGATCGAACGTAACTCAAGATCCAGTTGAAGGTGTCGAGGAGACCATGTACGGTTCCTCAGTCTGATGCAATCTGTTGACTGGCGCGGGTGGTTTGTGAGTGCTTTCTTGTAGTACCGAATATATTGTTATGGCTGGCGCGGGAGGTGTACCAAAGGGAGTGCCGAGGATGTCGCTCAAAAGAAGAGAGGAGAGTGTAATGCTTTGTATATGTGACTACCTGACGTTTGGTGTTAAATTTATGATTTGTCTGGTCCTTGTACACGTGGGCTGACCTTCGGGCCACGCTTAGGTTATTTTGCCGTGTCGTGTTCGGAATACATGTATCCAGCCTCACTTACTGTCTTCTTCCACCATATGGGAAGTCTCGGGATGCTACATATTTGAGCGTACCATTTCAAGACTTTTGCCAGATAGAAGAAAGTACCGCAGAATACAGGGCACATATATACACATATATTTTTTTTCTAAGAGAAGAAGAAGGATAGGTCCCTGGCGTGCAAGTGTCAGACGAATACCAAAGTGACCACTAGACATTGGTTGGTCACATAAACAAAGCGCTATACTATTCCTCCCTTCTTTTGAGTTACGTTCCTGACGCTTTCCTTATTACACCCCTCGCGCTAACCCTCACATATCGCGCGGCACAAGAAACATCCACGAGCCAGCCGCGCCAGGCATCATCTACCATGTTACTGAAGAATGTTACTTGGTCTGCTTAACAGCTTAAACTGGGCCTAGAGTTGCGTTTGGTCTGTGGGTATGGCTCGTATCGATAAATTTTTGTTGACCACAAACGTTGCCGAGAATTGGACGCAGAAAGACTGGAAGACTTGGTCAATCCCAGTTCCGCATGAAAAAATGCTCGCCGTAGTATCATCTGTGACACCTATACTAGGACGTAGTAAGGATAGTCCCGATATGAGACATTTCAATGTGGTTTGTGGCTGTGTCGCTTCAGTTGTTAATACAGAATCTGTGGAACACGAAGGCAAGGTGGACCTAAACGCACATCATTGCCAACTTAATGTAAATGCGCCTTTTTTGCACCGTAGATACATGTCACAGATGGTGGGTAAAAGGATAGAAGTAGATTGAAAATTTTTAGTTCGTTTTCTATAGCTATCTGTGTACCAGGCATCATAATGAGCAGGACGCGGCCCGAAGGCCAGCCCACAAGTAGAAGAGCAAGATTAATACCACAATAGTTGCCAGACAGATGGTAACAGAAACAAAGTATTACAGTAGTTGCCGATTTCTTGGGTGGTTAGAACCAGGTCTTGCTTAAATATAATCCACCATCCCCATTTTATTCAAGTCGCCAGGACGCAAGGCCACATACCGCAGCCATAATATTGCTTATGTGACCACCTGTAGGCCTGGCAGTTATCTTGACGTTCCTCTTCCTCTTGTGCGCGTGACCAACCCTTGGGTCAAGTCGAAGTTCAATCCACACTTCGCAGAGAATGCACGCATTCAAACTAACGACGTTGTCTACCGAATGGGAAATCTCAAGACGCCACAGGGCCCAACTCGCGAATATGCTATCCCACCAGGCCCACCTTAGCTTGAGCATCCAGCACAAAGCCGGCAATCTTGCTATGCAGCTATTTCGGCAAGATAACTTAAGCCGTTTGGGAGCAAAAAGAGAACAGGGTTTTTGAGTGTATTTTGTAAATTTCGCCTAAATAAACGCAAATAAAGTCCAATATGAGTAGCACGCCTCACAAACACAGTGTAAAAGAGAGCCAGATGGAAAGAAAATTAGATATGGGCTACGAATTTACAGAGTTCTGCTACGGTTGTTCATCGAAGCGTAAAGCCAACATTTGACACCTTTTGTGCAGAGTGGAATCACACCAAACGGATTACAAGTGAAAGCGAAAGAAAGGTGTCGTATTATCATCCATGGGGGCCGGGAGGCGAGAGCTAAAAAAGAGACCATACGGGAAATGTACCGCCTCGGCTTCAGCTCAGTAATGAATGTAAGAGATAGAAGCCCGTGTGGTTTTGGACGGAATGGAGTTCAGCAGGCATAACCAGATTATGGAGCACTGTGTCGTTTAAATTAACCACAACGACATGCGCGCTTATCGAAACAGAAGGTGCTCACATCGAAGGGCCCCTAGGCCTTTCAACAGCTAGTAGGTACGAAGCAGGAAATGGAATCATTCTTAACTACTGTCGAGAGTATAATGATTATAACCTTCTACTGTTGTAGCTATATGGGTCGTTTCCATTTTATTACCAACATTCAATTTTCCTTCAATTTATTCCGTTTGCTTCAAAAAATGCGAATAAACCTTGATAAGGATAGTACCACGATCTCGTGATGATACGCTCCCAGTCCACCATGCAATAATTGACTAAATTTTGTGACTCAAATTCATAGCATTTATAACATACGACTTTTAAAGGTGTAACTATGCTGCAACCTTAATGATTTCACTGTAGCCTTGCGGGCAATTTTTGAGTCTTGAAAAGTAGACGAGCTGTATGGCTCCAGAGCGACACCTTTGCAAGACACGGGAGTCAACCTTTGCCTTAAGCAAGGTATACGCCTTGCTGAATCTGGAGACAGGTATTTGTTCCCGCACAACCGCAAGTTTTTCATTGCGCTTCATGTCTCCTTCAACAAGGTCATCTAGGGTCGAGCCCGAACTGGAGAGGGTCGAGTTCGAGTTAAATATGGAGACAAGATCATCTTTCCAGAGATTGTAGAAGTCAACAGGTAGCACCGCAACCCAATCCAAGTCGCGCACATTCAGAGCAGCAGGGGGGTGCAGCTCGAGGCTCTCACAAGAGACGCTCAGACGTGTCCGCCTGGTGTCCAAGAATTTGCTCGAAGCGTGGTTCACTTTCACAGCTTTCATTGCAAATGCCGGCGCCTCAGCGGTGATCAATGGCTGTTGTGATTCGTCGGAGGAGCGGCGCGAGTAAACCGCATTAGAGGTGGAGCGAATAGGGACATTGTACTGCGACTTCCATGGCCATGACCGGTTATTTACTAGGTCCTCCGTCATGAGCGGAGGTGGGTCCATCGCCACGTAGAGGAATCTGAGGTCCTTGTCAACCGGGTGTGCTACAGGTAAATAGTTACAACTATGGTCACAAACATTTTATGGGAGCAGCGGAACAAATTTTCCCAATACAGACTGAACATATCAGAGAAAATTCAAATGAAATCTAAAACTAAAGCTATATGCCATTCAAAATCACAGCACTACAGAAACAATACTTGCCTTACGCAGGAGACCAAACTATGAAGGAAAAGGCAGAAACTAAATAACCTAATATCTGTCTTGTCTCAAATTATACATTGTAGGAAATTATGCGAAGCGGCGATTTCCGCAACCATATGATGGAAAGAGGGGGAATTGGAGGGGATGCGCAACTCTGAAAAGCTGGCAATCAAGTGAATTTTGTTAGAACATAAGGGCTATAAGTTAGGTTTAAAAATCAGCAGGAGTGAAAAACGATAGAAAGCCCACTTATCATTTCATCCGAGAATCTGAGAGATGATGAGGACATGAAACTAGGACTACGGTGGATGAAATACATTTAAAAGTACTTGTCTTTGGATGGCCTAATTTTTTTGGCAGCTACTGGTAGAAGTAGATCCATATAAATTATAAGGCTTCAAACATGTAAGTTGGCTGGGGCGAAATGTAAAGAATACCTACTGAGAGAAAAGGGTTGGATAAAGCGAACTGGAAGCTGAAACCATGCCGGTGATACGCGAGCGTGGAAACGAGCGAAAACTGGACGATGGTCGGAGGTGATATAGTTAGGCAAATGGTTGTAGGCAAGGAGGTGAAGGTTTGATGTTTCCATGACCATATCCTCCTCACGGTACTCTTCGGCAGTGGAAATTGAGGACGTAGAGAGAGACGAACCAGTGGACGGGCCGCTTTGCACTACTCGCTCACGTGTCGGCTGTGGTACCTTGCGACCCATCTCATCCAACTGTACATTGTGACCCAACGCAAAATCATTGTGAGCCATGTAGAGGACCCTATCCGTGTACGATGGTACTCTCTGCTTCTTACTTGACAGGCAACGTAAACAAACATCATCTCAGTCCAAGGGGACGTCTAGTGAAGTTATCTAACTTCAAGTACAGCCCGACTTGACGAAACAAACGTAGCAAAGATTGCAACGATTCCCTCATCTGTTAAAAATGCAACTAAATAAATAGTCGATACTTAATTTACTTCTTCCGCTTCACTATGCAATCAGCCACCAACAACTTTTTAACAATCTCAACTCACTGGCTGGCAAAGGACGAATTTTCGGATGAACCAATAGGCAGAAGGATAATGAATAATGCACGTGACCAAAATAAGATAAAATTTATGAGGCTAGCCACATAGCAAGCTAGCAACTGCCCTAAATAGGAAGCATTCCAAAGGGGAATGGTTGCCATTCACAATTTACACATCAACTTCATGTAAAAGCGCAACGTCTTTTAGATGAAATGTCTGCATTGTTTGCGCTGCAAGAACAAGTACTTTGTGTGAGGCAGTATGGAACAACTAAACATTTTCCATTAACCGCATGGCGTTTTGAAAACGCACGACTCAAATAAAAGCATGGACCAAAACTCCAATTCAAAAACATTTTACAGTCTATTGAGCCTACTTTGAGAACTACCACATGTCCGTGTGATTAAAATGGAGCCACGATGGAAGTTTCTCGGGAAGTAAAGTGGTAAGGTAAGACTACTTTAAGGTAGAGGAAGAAAGATCCTATCTGAGGAGGAAGTCAAATGCGCCAATATATGCTAGGAGACGATGCTTTGTCTTTTGATAAAAATTATGCGATTTCAAAATTCGCTTAAACAGCCGTCATTGCAACCCACAACTTTTCCTTGTCTTACCTCTATTCCTCATCTATCTGGTGTGCAATTGTATGATAATAATAAAAAAGTGATGATAATTTGGAAAGTGCAGAGAAATTAGTAAAGTTCTTCAAGAGCGTCCTAAGGCATTTGACACAAAAGTTCAATCTTTCTGCATCGTTATTTTACACCCTTGTGTTGTTAATTGTTTAGTTTTCGGTGAACTTTTTTGTATTGCAGATGAGTGCCAAATGTCTGACATTCCAAAGGGAGAGAAGTAGTCGTAGCCAAAATGCTTTGACACAAACGGAGCACAATAAAGTGTGAATAGGGGACCTTTGTGAAAATGAAGCTCAACAATAAAATTGGGATCGCCGATCCCTTTCAACGCCCCAGTTCATTAACTAGAGCCGCACCATACTAGTAAACTACCCATACCGTTAGAATGAAATGCGGATATAACTTATGCGAAAACGAGGATCTGTGTTTTTAAATTCAATTCAATGAAGTTTAAAAACACATATGGGAGGTAATCAAATACGCCGCCATTTAAGAAAAGAACAAAAGTCCGCTTCCATGGTGCATATCTAGGCTTGGGCCTTGAGAAAGTACGAAATGACCGGTACACACCATTGCTCAACACCGTTCAAAATGAGTGTAAAATGTATGTGATTTCAAAGATAAGGCTCCGAAACGAAGCGCATGGTTTTTACTAAATAGTGCCAAATAATTTGTTAGCGTTGAACAACAAAAGCATTGTGTGATTTGGATGAAGTAGTTCGGAAAACACGCTCGTGAAAACCAACCGGCCTGTCCATGAGAAATATTACTACTTTATCATAGACCTTGGAAGTTCATAAATAGTTAACAATTTTAAGTAGATACGAAGATTCTGAAGTGGGGTTTTCCGTTTATGATGAACAAGAAGAGCTGCTACCATTTATTTAAGTTTTGTCATGTTCAAGGCAGTTGAAAGTGCAAACTAACCTAGAATCGTAGTTCATTGTACCCTTGTCATACTTGAAAGTCGGTGGAAAGGTGATTTCACCTTCTTTGAAGTCGAGAAATACCATATCATTTTTCATGGCCTTCTTTAACTAGGAAAGACCAGTAAAGTAGCAGTGAACAAAATGTCGAAGACTTCGAAACAAATCTGTTTGATCCAACAAGCAACCCCCAAGCCAGGGAGAAGAACAAGACAAATAGTAAAGGTTACGGAGTACCAATGATAAAGTCCAAGCAATTTTAAACGCGGTATCGAAATAACCGAGGCAAATTGAGCAGTCCCGATTCTTACTAATGTGTACGTTCTGAGTTAAGTCAAGAGGGTGTTATCAAGACTTTATGACAAATCCAGACCTGCCTACACATTGGCGGCGCACAGTTTACTAAGTCAATATAATCTTAATATCTTCAAAAGACATGATACCACATCCGATTGCAGGCAAACAAGTTTTCCAGATCAGACTTACTATCTAAACTCGTGCAACCACGGACGAACTTACTTTTCTTATCAAGAAACAGAATGAACCCAGGCTCAGGATCAGTAAAATTGAGTAAACATTACTTCTGTCAATAATACTATTAGTCTAACAAACAGTAAAAGTCGTTACCTGGTCGTATTCCATTAAGGTATCAATACGTTTCGACGAGATTAGTTCTTCGACAGCATTCTTTTCCAAGCCTTCTGTTCGAAAATTAAGATCACCCATCCAGAAAATATAGCTAAACGATTAACCAAACAGACATTTGATGTAACTAGTAAATTATGCAACCCACTTAACTCAGCTATAACTTGAAGGTGAGATATTGAATTCGAGATAATTAGGAATGAAGTGTAAGTTGCCAACATCAGCACGTCTAACTATCAGTTTAAAGTACAGGAAAATTTGACACAAAAGACATCAGTCATGACGAACATGAAAATGCTTACTCATGATCCATGAGAAGATTTACGTCTGGATCACGGAAGGTTTGACCTTTTAAGATATCTCTATAGTCCTACGAGAGTGAGGTGATTAGTAAATGCGTCCTCCAGCCTACGTTAACTCGGTCCTCAAGTTTCTCAGCGTGCGGTGTGAAGTGGGCGGATACACATGCAATGCTGACACCGCAGATCTCAAAACGCACACTACATGCCCCCTTATTTCCCTAGATGGGTAGAAGTAGGACTTGAGGCATAAAAACATTCCCATTTTACCATTATTCCTGCATAGCCGAATGCGGTCATCTCAGATTCAATGTTATTTATAGCCGGCAGAAGGTACCGTTTCACGAACGCATAAATCCAAATGGCCCAACAGTTCCGATATTTGATCTAACCCAGGAAGAGGATACGCATGAGATTGGAAGACGAGACTTACAAGAACGTAATTCAGAGGAGCCATAACTATTTTCAAGGCGCTGTACCACTCTTCCGATCTGACGACCTCCTGTAAACTGGATGTAAAAACCAAAATGTGAGAGAGTACAGGACTTACCCGAGAAAGATCACGTCAGGATGTGGCTCACTGTCCACACCCAGAAGCTTCGAGAGGTCCTGTCGTGGTGGCGGCTCGCCACCCACATTCCACGTGCAACAGTAGACACTATGGAAACAAAAAGAATACAATGAAATAAAAGGATGCGGAAAAGAGCACAGCACTCTATGATACTGGGTGCTCGAATTGAAGTTTTCACTGCGGCATCGCATGGCAGAAGCAGCCACATAAGGAACTAATCATATATTCAGATAGACCAAGGTTTATCAAAAATATGGCAGTCTAGTTTTCCGAAATGGAACGGATTTAAAATTATGGTGCGAATTTCGACACTGTAAGCGACTATTCAAACATACGCTTTGATACTTTGATATTGTCCGTTTTTATGTTATGAAATTTCGCTTGAGACCAAGCATTGCCGCACAACAACATAGACCAGTGATAGGACACATCGAGGTACCATTACTAGCATGGAGTAGATAACATCAAATAGAGCTTCTAGACTTTCGTACGGAACTGATAAAAGAGAAAGCAAACCCCTCAGGAAAGCAATAACACAAGAAAGTGAAGGCGCTGATGAAATGAAACCAGAAACAGCCTATAGACTAGCGCAATAGTGAACAGTCTTGTATCTTAGATTAAGTGACACAAACTTTCAAATGACGTTGTAACAGTAACCTTAGAAATAAAATGCGAATATCTTTGGCAGAATTTTAAGCACGGTTTCTTCACAAGACGGATCGGAATGCAACCTTCTGACAAGATACATAAAAATGAAAATTAACCATGCTTACATTGAGGGATGCATTACGCAAACAATATGCACAATCCACTACATGACTCACCAGTTGAACCACAAAGTGGCAACAAACATACGTTTCACATTCAGTGTGATGTAAATGCAAAAAGTACCAGACAAAGGATAGTAAAATAAATTCATTCAAATGAAGGAAGGAAAAGCAGCGAAGGGGGTGATCGTTGGGATAACGTCCTGAAAATTGGATACTATAGCGTGATTGAGATATTCACAAAAGCACTAAACTAATTTTAAAACCAAAAGGTTCCAGTAGAGAGGCTATGGCGAAATGATCTGATGATAGAAAAAGTGATAGCAAAATAAGGTAAATTGAAATAAGAGCAAACGCGCAGAACTGTGTTTTAGCACACTCCAGCTTTAAACTGAATGTGCAAAGGATCTCTTTCCTTAACAAATATCTGCAGAAGTAAACCACAAAGTGTAGTATCAAGACAGCAAAGACACGTATATCTTTATTTATTTTATTTTACCTAGCAATATTTTCCTCAACAGAAAGAGGAAAGATGAACTCAGCCTCACCAAAAACAGACGGCCATTAATTTTCGGAAGTTACCGCAAGCAAAGATGGAAGCACCCAAAGGCACATTGTGAAGTATCGGACACGAATGCGATAATACATACTAAGGTTCTCAGAGAAATTTTTAAGGTCATGCATTTATAACTACTATCGATGTCTTTATGTATCATTCCGAGGTGCTACACATCGAAAGGTATCGATTTCTATATTAACACATCACATACGCTACTTGGATAGCGAAGCTGTGTGTGTAGCTCCAGATTGGTTTAGAGCAAATGGGTTGGTACGCCAGATTATCATATGCGTCAGCCAGAAGTGATCGAGACAAGTGAGGTATCGCCTAGCAAACACCAGAGATGCAGGTTATTACTTGGAAAGCTGAAGTAGAACAATATTAGCAAGCGTTGAGATTTGTTAACTTATAACGACAAAACGCATTTGACACAGTTGGAGATAGAAAACTGCTAATTTCTCAGAAAATAGGTTTAAAGCGTTTTAGGGTATGAATCATGCCGAAGACACCTCCGGAATAAAATTTGGAAACATAAATATAGTGAAACGAATAGATAGAAGGGGGATTACTGCCTATAGTTATCGTTGGTAAAGTCGCATGCTTAGTACCTACATACACAAAGGCCATCATACTGATGGCCACGCTTCCACTGACAAGCGGGTAATTGTACTAATCAAAATAAGCACTAGTGTAACAGACTATTTTGAATAGAGAACTGTACTATTTCAGTCATATATTTCAATGGGACCAAACTGCTACCAAATTATAATGAAACGCTCAAAAACGAAAAATTCGCTTCAAAATCGATTTGCCTATCAGCTTGTAGGCAAGTAACAAACTTGGATACGCCTTTAGAAAAGTGCATGAGACGGCGCAATAATAAAGCACATCAGATCTGTGAGAAGCTAAAATACCCGGAAGCCCCATCATTCCACAACCGAGGGAAATAAAGGAGCGGAAATCTAGCTTAATAATGTGGTTGAAACGGACTTAAATCCCAGCTGGAGGAAAATATAGCAATTCACTTAAAATCCCAACAAGTGTTATTTCTGCCGCTGTGGAATTCAGGAGTAAAACTGGCCCCAGACAGTTTCGCTAGGAATATCAAGCAATGCATAAAGGCGTGCAGTGAAGAACAGGAAGTCTTCATGCAAAGGGGATATGTAACACAAACAACAACCAAGCCCAGCAAACCTGACGAAGCCCATCGTTTTGAAAATATTTCAAGGTCTCTAGGGCAGGAACAGGGTGTTGAACAGACCAAACAAATCAATCATACTTTAAGTAATTTCCAACTCTAATAACCTACCTGATTGTCAGTAAAACAATCACAAACATAGCGAAACAAATCGTGGAGTACATAATTGCAGGTCTCCTTGCATTAGCTAAGCCCTTCTTCAAGGACCATTCTTGAGACTTGCTCAGCTCGGCTTCTTTCTGAATATCAGCCTTCCAAGCCCTTCAGACAGCTATGGGGAAAAAAGAGTTAAAATTAGCCAAGGGTACGTCTCAGTGCTTTCCGAGTGCCCCATCAAGAATGCCCTATACCTTCCTGCAAAAATCCTGTGCATTTTAGACAACTAAGCACGTGTCAAACAACTCTTCCCCTTCTCTTCCTAACATTATCCTGCTTGCCAGCCTTAAGAGTTTCATCCACGTGGTCAAGTGATTTCTTCGCTTCTGCTAACGGGTGTAATGCTTTGTTTGTGTGACTATCTGATTTTCGCAGTCACTTTAGGATTTGTCTGGTCCTTGAGCTGGTGGGCTGGTCTTCAGGCCATGCTCGGGCTCATTTACTCTGTTCTCTTTGGAAAACACGTATCCAGCTTTAATATGTACTGGTGTTTAAGTTGACCTTGGTAACAAAGAGGCGGGAACCGAATCGTAACGTGAATCCTGTGAGTGAGGACAGTGAGGATTCCCTCTCCGAGTGGTATCGGTTATTCGGCTCATTTGTATTTCTATCCCCGTTTTTCCTGTACTCGATGCCTAATAAACCTACTACAACTAACCCTCTCTTAAAGTCCGTGGCTCAATGGCATGAGAATAGGCAGGCAGTTCCTACATCAGCATCATTTAGTGCCTTCTTCCACCCAATAGAAAGTCTTGGGACGCTACGAGAAGATTGCATTTGCTCTAACTTACTGGAGAAGTGCCTTTATAAGAATGTATCAGGTTTCAATGTACGTTTATTAGCTCTGCAGGCACTTGATATCTGGAGCTAGCTTCGGTTTTTTGTCTTGCTATTTTACTCGTGGGTTGGCCTTCGGGCAACAGTAAAATCCTATCCTTTCTTCTCCCTAATTAATGTCATCTTCTGCCTAGTGAGTAGCCTTGGGCCCCTACAATGTTGGCAATGATATGCGAACCCCACTTCTTAATATTCTCCGTTTTGGTCCACATATTCATTAGGAGGAAGGATTTCTGAGCTCTGCAAAACAGAAACATTATGAATAATGTCTGCCTTTGGTTCCACCCTCTCCCGTGTTTCACAGATATGCTCTTAACGACTGAAATCACATTGCCGTGATCCATGTGGAAAAGGTCTATACCTCAAGCATTCTTGCTACATCCGCACACTGAAGTTGGAGAAGGCACTAATTTGGTGTTCCATACTATTTGATCCAGGCGTCCCTGTTAAACATATCTTGCAGACTAGTGTTCCATCACCTCGTCCAAAAAACAGTTTTTGGTTAATTGTAGCATGCTATTCTTTTTCTCAAACTGAACATAAATATGGATTCATTTGAAGCGGCTGAAAAGGCCAATTACAATCCCTCATTCAAATGGTAGCTAATAAGGTGCGCGGCTGGCATGCATATACTTTCTCGCAGTACCAAATGCGTTGCGATGGCAGGTATTGGAAGCGCATCATTTGAAGTGTCGACGACCGTAGAGTTCCAAGACTCTCTAGCCGGTATAAGAAGTCAGTAAGTGCAGCTAAAGACGATAGGACAAATGAGCCTGGCTATGGCCCGGAGGTCAGCCCACGTGTACAAGGACCAGACAAATCATAAATTTAACACCAAACGTCAGGTAGTCACATATACAAAGCATTACACTCTCCTCTCTTCTTTTGAGCGACATCCTCGGCACTCCCTTTGGTACACCTCCCGCGCCAGTCAACAGATTGCATCAGACTGAGGAACCGTACATGGTCTCCTCGACACCTTCAACTGGATCTTGAGTTACGTTCGATCTGACAACTAGACTCGGGGCCGCATACACCTGTTGACCATCAATTGCTTCAAAGACTAGACGGTGGAACTCTGGTCTAAAATAGATATGTTACAGGTAAAACGGGATAAGGCATTGTCCCGTGTGTGAGGAGAACAGTAGTGTCATTTCCAACACCTATGCACGGATTTTGTAAGGAAAATTTCGACACGAAACTTCTCCAGATAGTTCACGGTGGTGTCGCATCAACTGTTAATAGCTTGTCTGTGGAACACGGGAATAAGGTGGCACCAAATGCAAATGTCGGTCTAAATCCTTTCGTTTTGAAGGATTCAGCAATTCTCCGTCACCAAGGTAGATGCGCCTCCTTCAATTCACGTCCCCTTTTCGCCTGTATCTTCATCTATTGCACTTCGATAGAGCCTGACCTCCTTTAAGCATGTATAGCTCATGATTGCCGGTGCAAAACGCCAGAATGCGCTTATTAATTCTGGATTTCTCCGCTAAAAAGTAGAACTCCTTTGCAGTCTTGTCTACTGGTTACATTATAAACCCCTTGTCGTGAAAAGAGAGGTTTCGAATTTTCGACCAAGTGAACCCGATTTTGAGGTCCAACTATAACCAGGTTCATAGCTACTCAAACATCTCCAGATCGTGTGCGATTTGCTTCCTCCGAGCAAACCATTGCTCGTCGGCTCATTCGTACTTTTCTTTTCCGGTAATCAGTCAATTAATTGGCAAAGTTTAGCAACTCAAACGTAGGATGTCAGTAAGACAGCGGTGTCTGTTGGGCAATAGATTTTCCCGGACACTATGTCGATTTTAACAGACGACCAACAAAAACAAGCCGCAGAGAAAGAGACCCACTTAGGCTAAAAGTTGTTAAAAAATGTCGGATTCGCTTACCGCTGCCACCAGTGTAGCATCATGAGACTTCCTAGTCGGCATAAGAAGTCAGTAAGTGCAGCTGGACACATATTCCGAAGATGATAGGGCAAATGGAGATCAACCCACGTGTGAAAGGGCTAGACAAATCCTAAAGTGACCGTCAAACGTCATATGGTCACTGTAATGCTTTGTATATGTGACTACCTGACGTTTGGCGGTCACTTTAGAATTCGTCTGGCCCCTACACACACACACAC